AGCGACCGAGGAGCCCCAAAGAAAAGATGGAGGGACGTCATCAAGAAGGACCTCACTGAAGTGAATGCCACTGCAAAGGATGCACTGGATCGGAACAAGTGGCGACGGCTAATGAGAACAGCGGACCCTGCGACGGCGCGGGACTAAGCTAGGGAGAGGAAGAGTTAGAGCAGGAACTAAAGGAGAAACCCAACAGGTTTCGACTCGGCCATTTGCAATGTAGAGTAGGTATATGGACGTATGCTCGTGCCGACTGGAATTCAGAATCTCTGCTCCGTGTTTTGGGAACTGAATTTCTCGTGAACGGGAGTTACGACACCAAATTTTGCTCGCATTCATACCAGTTATAGAGGATGGTTGCCAACGGCAGGTCGCCGATGGCTAGTGGTCGGTGTGGCATGATCAGGAACACGAAGTGTGCGCATGTTGGAATCTGGACACCACGTAAGACATTTTTTGGTTTTTGTCACGAAGCGTTCCATATTGGGTCTCGCAGAGCACTTCATGTTGCCAATGACCTGAATCTTGATATTTGACAATAGAACGATCATATCGCTCCATCTCGTTTAACGGTGTTGAAAATTGAATGAGAAACTATCACGGCATGAGAATGACCGTTTTAGAGCTCTGCACTCGAGGAATGAAGTCGCACGATACTAGGAGAGTCGTCAGTACAAGTGGCCATTCGAATGAAATAATAGTTTCATAGAAGTGGTTTTTGGACGCATGATCTCAATTCTGCCTTCGAATTGGCAGAACATACTTCTGAACGGAGCATTTAAATTCGTGGGATGTCTCTTTAAGTCTGGATGCATTCAAACGTCAAATGTGATGCATATCGTGTTTTAGACTGGAGCAAAAGTACCTTGGGACAGGTTTCTAAGCCAGATAATGAGGGTTGACATATTCTTCAAAAGTCCGGTAGAAGGAGATTCGATGGTGGTACACCACTAGTTCGAGGCAGTCTCTGTCGATTTGCCTGACTTTCGCGCGGAATTTTCTCTATATACAGAAAATACTGGAGCATGGTAACAAAGATGCAATGCGTAAGAAGGTGGCAAGACAGAGCGTATGTGTCAGGAAATGTATCTGCAGGAATAGGTGTGAACGATCAGCATGGAACTACCATGGATGGTTTTCAAGTTATGGAAATCAGGTCAAAATCAGATTTGGCTTACAACTTTGTGTAAAAGTATTTGACCCGCGAACAGAATATGGCATCGCGTGACTGTGAAAACGTCTGTATCGGCGCGACGAGAGGCAGGCACTGACACCAATATTTTCCTGGCGAGTACAGACTCTACCAAGTGCCTGGCGCATTCATAAATGGACGCAAAGTTTTCTTCAGGCAAGATTAGGTGAGCACTGAAGTAGTAGTGAAAGCAAAACCACATTTTGCCACGTTTGCGCAGGAAAAAGTGAAGGCCCACATCCGGATCGACCCGTTGACCTGGTTGGTGGTAAAAGTGCGGGTGAAAAAAGCCCCATAACTGTTAGCAGAATCGTTCGCAAAAGGAGAGGGTAAGATTTTGGCTTCGCGGATCAAGGCACGTCGCACATATGTGTAAATCTCATTGCAATATGCGGATCGCGCATGGATTGGGGTACGCTTGTTAGCAGGAACACGCTACAAAAAAGTGGTTGGCGTTTTTCGCGGTATTTTTTTAAGAATTATGGCGAGTGCTTGTATGAAGTTGTTTGCCCTGTATTTCACCTTATGCGACAGACTTATATAAGAGGGTTTTCAGACTCTTACCGAAGTCTTCATTGAGCCTCACGAAGACTGGAAAAAGGGGTGAGTTCAAGCCGTATGCACTGTAGATTTGCACGCTTTCTTATATATTCTTCTAACACTACTTGAATTTCTTAGGAAGCATTTGAGCCAAATAGGAACTTTTCCTATAGAAATATTCTAAGTGTCGGATTTTAACACGATTGTGAGTGCGAGCGAGCGAACGTAGCAAATAGTTCCTTCGTGAAAGCCTGTAGTATCACACCTCGACATGACCCACAACTTACTACCTTAGAGGATCGTGAGTCCGCGCAAAATAGTGGATACGCTTCGCCTCAGAAAAGTGAAAAGTAGGATGTGGTAAAATGTGATCGCGATCAATGACAAAAGTCGCTAAAGAAAGACGATTGTTTCTTCTTATTGAAGTGCACTCAAGGTTTTCAAGAATCTTTATTATGTGGCTGACGTTTCGGTGAGATCACCTTCTTCGGAGCCTGAAAGGGTGGAAATCAATTTATGAACTATCCGACCTGCCTCACTCCACCTTCGACCCCATCCTTGCCATCACGTAACCAATCAGGAAAGGAAATTACCGTACCTGCCAGATCATACGGTCATCTACGAGTGCACAGTCCAGGGACCTTTCAAACCGATCGCATTCAGGGTTCCGTGGGGAACGCTAGCCTTATATACGGGGTTAACTCCCGCGTAATTGACAGACATTCTCCCCTCCGGTTCATTTTTGGATCCCTGACCTGGATCCAAAATGCCTCGAGGGTTTTGCGTGCGGCAGTTTGAATTTCTTGCTCCAGGACCTCTACCGTGACCCCGAAGTCGACCCCGCCATGGGCATTTACCCTGTGGCAACCCAGCGCAGTGGACACCCGTGACCTAGTTTTCCCGTTAAGGTGTTCTTTGACCCGCATGTGAGGAGGCGTTTCACCTATGTACTCGTCGCCACATGTTTGGCAGGTGATCTTGTAGACCACACCCGTGACCGCGCAGTCTCCCTCCCTGCCGTTCGGGCAGACTACGCAGTTCGGAGTTCCACATGTGCGATCGTAAAGACGATTTCAAATCAACCGGCGTTTCGAGTTGTGTGGAGGAATCTCCACGACGCCAACAGTGTTTTCTAGACCCGATCTCCTCAGACACTTCCTTATGGAAGTGCTTACTTCATCGGAGATAGAAGGGTACCGCGAAGGGAGTTTTCCCGTAGGAGGATCACCCCTCGTTGTGCGAGTACTGATTCGACGCATAGGTGAGGGACGATCAGCCATCAAGTCGAGCGATTTCGCGCGTCATTCCCAGTGACTCATTCCTCTCCTCCTCCCTCGTACAAACAGTTGCCGCCGTCCGGAACATATTCCTGACAACTGCTCGCTTAGTTTGGAGAGGGTGAGCTGATCGAAAATGGACAATGATATTCTTGGTGGTGGGCTTCCTATACCACTTTGTGAGGTACGCACCCTTATCAGACCTGACCTGGACGTTAAGGAACGGAAGCCAGTTGTCGCACGGCTTCTCGCGCGTTAACTTGATGTGTTCGGACTGCTCGTTCATCAGTGCAAAACATTTGTCGATTTCACACTGGGAGGAGCAGATTATGAAGCAATCGTCGATGTATCGACAATAAAGCAAGGGAGTCGTTCCAATACTGGCGTTTCTATCCTGCGCATTAAAGCAAGGAGAGTTAGTCAGGCCATTGACTCAATTTTTTGGTTATTTTTGTGCTGAGCGTCTAGTCTGCGCGTAGTACATGCTGACGCAATGAAAGAATGTGTTGCGGAATCGTACTAGGCGCGAAGACGCAGAAAGGCATAGCAATGGAGCGGAGGCGGATTTATTTCAAACAGCAATAATTATTTGCAATGGAAAGCGCCACCCATAATCAGTCACATCACGAGGTTGGGCCTATGAAGCTCGGAAAGAGGGTTCAATAGCGAGTATGAATTTGGTGACAGTTGGTATAAAGCGGCTTGGCCAGTCAAATGACTGCATGTCTTTCCAAGCATCTGCTGAAGGTGGTTCAGCGAACGCGTCTGGGTGTTCGGAAGGTGCCACGGATATAAATGAAGCAGTGCACTGAGTCAATAGTGGGTGAGGGAATGCAGGCACTGTGATAGTCTCCCACCCTCTCCTCATGCAGCTGATAGTCGTGGTCTGACTTTAACAACGAAGGGCTTAACCGAGGTAGAGGTCTTTCCCGACTGGGAGTACAGCACGGGGCAAGAAGTGCATGCAATTTTTAGAAACGAACCTGGGTAGGAGAGGGTCAAGTCCCGCTGATTTTGCTACGCCATTCACACACGATTCAGCTTACAATACTGTGACTGGAACTTCCTTGGCTGAGGATAGTCGGTAGAGAGAGGAGTCCCCGAGATGCCGCTCCGTTATTCACGGTCGAGTTGGCAAGGGATGACAACGAACTCCCCTCCTTGTCACTAACAGAGAGTCTGATAGTGTGGGACTTGACCAAATCGCGAAGCTCGTTCAGACCACGCACTTGAGCACCTGACAGGTTGGACGGGCTGTGAGTGCCACGGTACCTACTGAACACTTTGAATACTTCGTCAGCAAATATCCTAAAACCGATATCTGAGCCGATACCGGCTCTTGCTGTTCGAAGCTTGGGAACGGTATGTTAAGCGTAGGTCTTGATGAATTGAATAAGCCCTCCAACCAACCTTGGCCTTATAACGTAGGCGGTCCTGGAGCTCATGTAGACTGCAAACCACCTTGCGCATCACGAATGTGGAAATGGACTGTGATGGTGAGAAACTAGGACCCATTTCCAAAACGGAGCGCGCGTTGTTGGAAAGGTGGAACTTCCCCAGAACGGTTACCCTAGAACCCGATTGCTCTACTCCGCTGGCTGCTTGATCTACGGTAGCCTGGTCGTGTGACGGGACCTCCCAATGTGATTACGACCAAGAAGGTCGTCGAATTTCTTCTGTAAGGCATTGTTCACAGTCTGCGGTCCAGCGTTTCTCTGGAACGCGGCGGTTCGGCGAAAAGCTTTCGATACATATCGACTGGCGGTTGGGCGAAAGGGTTTTGATACGAATCGACGGGCGTTTCGCCAAACCGCGACGTTTTTCGCACCGTCGTTTCGTCAGGGTCGCAGACTGCGAACAATGCCTAAAGCAGCTTTGGCATTAGATCGAATACGATCACAAATCGACTTTGACCCACCCATTATTCTCCTCCAGAGGCGATCTTCCAAATACTGTACACAATGATTTTCCTTCGACGCACACTTCTTCAGCATAGCGTACATGTTGTCACGTTTTGTTCGGATGGCCATACGAAGAAGCCGCATCTCGACATCCAGTACTTTCCGGTGGGTGGGCTGCCGAACAGTTCGCGTAACTGCTTCTTCAAGATAAACTTCGGTATTATACGGTGCTCCAGGCAGCGTTTGAGGAAGTGGATGGATTGACGCGCTAAGACAATCTTTTGCCTTAGCGACAAAGCCTCCCTGACGAGTCGATGATGTTCAGTTGGCACATTGCGAAGTAGACGCCAAGTTCAACTCTCAATGAACCTCGGCATATTGATAAATAATTGTTTCTGAAGAACTTGTTTGAGATATTATTGATCGAAAAAAAGATCAAGATTTATTTTGACAGCTTTTCTGCCTTTTGTAAGCGAGGGCATTAATCCGAATATTACCATCACTAACGTTGCTGTTCTGTCAAATAGCGACCCAGTAGGCAAGTTTAATCTTCTGTATTTTGCCTTAATGTTGCCTAATAAATATTAGGATGCCCGGAAAGTTTCGAGAGAATTCAGTCACTTCATCCAATACATATGAACAATAATAAGTGCCAAAGATTAGCAACAAGGTAGTGGCTCTTCGCCTACGTCTCTCCACCGATTGGGCAGATCATTCATACCTTCATTCCAGAAGGTAGCACGCTGAGATGCGATCCATTCATCGACCATACGCTAGAAATCCTAACGGTTGCTGAACATCTTCCCTTGGGTGAGCTGGATGACTCCTGAAAGCATGGTAATCACAAGGACTGAGATTCCACAAATACGGAGGATGGAACAGCCAGTCAATTCCTAGATTCTCCAGCTCGTCCCTTGTCGCCTTCGCATGATGTGGTCGGGCGTTGTCCATGACGATGTGGAACTTGCCCCGGTAATGTTGTGGAAACTGGGGCTCGGG